CTCTCTCTAACGTCCCCCAGATGGAATCCCCAGCTGCAGGCAGAACTGCCTAAGCCCCGTCTCCAAGGCCAGAGCCACCCATCCATGATGGGGGCCTGCCCACCTGCTCCCACCTGCCTGGGGTTGCCCAGGCAGCATCTAGTCGTCTCTGGGCCAGCTCTTCCTGATTCCTAACTTAATTTATTTTGACATCCTCACTGCCTTTTGACCTGCTTACGGAGTCATGTGGTGCTTAAAACTCATTATCCTCCCATTGAAACAGGAAGTTAATTAAACCCTTCACAGAGCCAGTGTTGATGAATGTCAGGATGGGCCCCTGATGCAGCTGCCCAGTGACTCCAAGGCCTTGGGCTGACCGGCAGAGGAAAGTGGGGGGGGGGGGCCGGGCCGGGTAACAAGGCCTGGCCCAGGCAGGGCCCGTGGGACAGACTGGGCCCCATTCCCTCCGGTACCGCAACCAGTGTTCATTCTGGAGCAGAGGGTATGGATTTCCTGGGGAGAATCCAGCTCTGCCACTTAACCTGCTGTGTGGTCTTGGGCAAGTGACTTCACTTTTCTGAGCCTCAATTTATTCACCTGGCAAATGAAAATTCTAACAGTCCTTCAAAGAGCCTTATGAGCAGACAGCGTGTCAACCTATGTTAGTGCTCAGCACAGAGCCTGGCACCAAGGAACCCTCCATGACATTACTCTGGTGGCTGCTAGTGTTAGATGACAGGGCACTGAGTGCTGTGGAAGAGGCGTCTCTGATCGCTGCAAGCTGGAGCAGAGGCCCAGCCTGTGGGACACCTGGACCATCTACAAGAAGGTTCAGAAAAGAGAGTAAGAGCAGGGTGGAGGCTATCACAGGCGGCAGGGACGGGAGTGGTTTGGGGGCCCAGTGGAGTGGGGGCAGCAATGGTTAGGGCAGAGGGTGAGGGAAGCTTGGAGCACAATGGGGTGGTGGTGGTGTCTCAGGGAGCATTTTGGAGCTATAGAAGGTGAAGTCACAGTGAAACAGAAAGAGGGCCATTGGTGGGCGTGATGTCCTGAGGCCTTTCAAGTAGCCAGGCCTCGGAATCTTTTCTACCCCATAGTTTGCTGCAGCCCCAAGCATTTGAGACCCCACACTCAGCACCCCCCACCTTTGCACCTACTCTTCCCTCAGCTAAGAATGCCCTTCTCCCATCACTCTTTCTTGAATACCCTTTTCATTCTTTAATGGCCAGCTTAAGTTCCCAGAACATTCTATGGCTCCCTTTGTCATAGCCCAATAATCAGTGCAGGGTCTGGCAGGGGGAGGTGTCACAGTTAGCTCCCTCCCCCACCCACAGCAACTTTCCAGCCCTGGGCCACCCTCCTGGGGCAGGCTATGCCCACAGACTGCCAGTCCACAGGTCAGAGGGCAGAGGTAGGCCAGACAGGAGCCCAGAACCACAATGGCAACAAGGCAGAGGAGCCCTGAGGGGTCAGGGGCCACCAACGCTTATAGGTGAGGAAACTAAGGACCAGATTGGTTAAGGACTTGCTCTGGTCCCGCCCTCTAAAGTGGCACAGACAGAATTTCAACCCAGTTCTCCAAACTCCCAGGCCAGGGTTAAGAGCATGGGCTCTGAAGTTAGCCTGACTGGGGTTATGGGAAGTTCTGCCACTTCTGAGCTGGAGGACAACTCTGAGCCTCAGTGTCCTCATCACGACCACAACAGCCTTGAACACCGTGTCCCAGGCCCAGCTCTGCTACTTTCTGCCTGGGTGATCCTGATGGGTGTAACCAGCTGAGGGTTGCACAAGGACCTCATGAGACAATATGAACCAGCCCAAAGGAAGGGCTTAGAAAATGCTGGTGATATGACCACAATATCTCCCTAGACTGGGCGTCCAGGACAGAGCCATGCTCAAGAGGCCTTCCTAGGCTGAGACACCCATGGAGCCTGCTGGGAGGCATCCAGGAAGCCTGCTATTAGCTTTGGAATCCAGTGAGCAGGGAACAACCAGACCATGGTCAGGGCAGCCCAGCTCCAGGCAAAGCCCCCTACTCTGCCCCAGTTCCATAGCAAGCATTGACAGCGCCCCATTCAGACTGAATGCCATTCTGTTTACTCCACTAGTGACTTTGGATGTGAATCCTGGCACTCCTCACAGACACACAGGGACAGGTGGAAATTAGGGTTCACTACAGGCAGCCTATGGGGAAGGAGGTGGCCAGGTAAGACACCCCCAGCAACCCTACACCCTGCTCCTCTTCTCTCACCTGATTAGGGACTCCTGCAAAGCTCCAATCAGATGTCACCTCCTCCAGGCAGCCTTCCCTGACTTCCCCAGGCAGAGGCAGTCACTCCCACTCTGGACTCACCCAGGCCTTGCTTTCAACAACACTTTTCGCTCCTCTTTCCTCAGTTTACCTTTATTATCAGCAGACCTCCTCTGCGGGCCAGTAGTGTGTTCAGGCCCTGTGGCATCACCACTGATCGCCAGCAATGCAGTTTCCTTTTCTGTATAAGGAAGGTAAAAAATATCCCCTGCAGGGCAGACTAAGGGACAAAGCATAAAAGGAAATTGCTCCAGAAACAGCTCTCACCTGGGTCCAGGGCTCCTGCACTTGGTTTAACTCTCTGCTGTTGCTGCCCTGAAATTCTCAATTTTTAAACTAGGAGCCCCACACTTCCATTTTGCACTGGGCCCCAAAAATGATGTAGCCAGTCCTGGTCAGTAGGTTCTATTTCTGACCTGCCTCTGCTCCTAAGTCTCGGGGTGATCTGGATGTGTTTCTCCTCTCAGGGCCTGTCTATGGACAAAGAAGTAGCCGAAGTGATGCTTATTTTCCTACCCTGCACCCTAGACAGATACCACTAATAGGTCATGGATCTCTCTCCTGCTGACCCTAAGAATCCTCTTTAACACAGATATCCAACCATTTTCAGCAGCACCAACCTTGGGGTTCATGGAGTCTCAGACCCAGCCCACGGCCCCCTCCACCAGAAATCCCTCTGACTCGAACATGCCCATCTTTGGGGAGGCAGTAAAGCTCAGAGAGAAGCACAGGCAGGTGGAGTGCCTCAAACATTGTGGGAACCTTGGGCTGAGTGAAGAAGCTAGGGGCCTGTTCCTGCACCCCTACCCCATGCTCCTCAGTGAGGGGATATGGCACGAGGCAGCTGTTGGAAGGCTTTACCCAATGGCCCTGGGTAGGGAGCTGCGTGACCCTGGGCAGGTCTCTTGGCCTCTTAGCCTTAGCGTTCCTCTCTGTCTGGTGGCAGTGGGTGGTCCCAGGATGGGCCTCTGCCTCCTGCCCTGCCTGCCAGTCTACTGCCCAGAGACCCCCTGAGCGTAGTGACAGGGCAGGAGGGAGTGCCCAGGCCCTGGAGATAACCCTTCTCCTTATTCATGGAGTGGGGGCAAAGGTAACAGGAGTCAGAAAAGCCGGTGGGGGGGGGGGGGGGGTCTCACAGGCAAAGAGCTCAGCACTCAGCCAGCTTCTGCATGTGACAGTGACAATGATTATCTGCCATCAGGTGGGTGTGACTCTGCAGAAACCCTTGCTGGTAGCCCTGGGGCCCCACTAATTCCCTATTTCTTGTAAATATAAGGGAGAGGGGGCAGGCACCAAATTCAGGCTAAGAATTATTAAAATAAAAGAATACAATTGTGCTCTCGGGACAATCCTTATGCTGTGTGGTTTTGAGCAAGACTCACTAGAAATGGGGGGGCTCCTAGGATCCCAAGAACATATCTCAAAAGACAGGAGGGTCGTCTCCATTTCCAGGAATGGAAAAGACGGTACTGAACTCCGGGACCTTCTCTCCTTTCAGACTGCTCAGGCGGCGAGGGGGTGGGGGTTCGCCCAACCCGCTGAAAGGCCTGCTTCCTGGGTTCCAACAGGAGCTCCCGTCAGAGGAGAGGCTTCGAGGGGTGACGACCGCCGGCTGCTTGGGAGGGGGTGCAGCGGCAGGCCCCTAACTTCCGCGCCCTCCTAGATTTCCTGCCAGATCTCAGCACAAGGGAGGAGGACCTGAGGTCCCCTCTCTCCATTCGGGGGTCTCGGCCAACGCGGTGTTGGGGATCCCAGGGATATGCTTCCACCAAAGATTTGGACGGAAGCCCCCACCGGCCAAAGCTAGCTCCCAAATCGGGCCCAAGAGAAATGTGAGGTGTCAAGGCATTGAGTTTCCTGACCCCTCACTGGCCTCTTCCCGCGAGCAAGGGAGGGCGGGTGAGCCCAGGTCTCCAGAGCACAGCCGAGAATCTAGGGGCGGACTTACTGAGTAGGGGCGGAGCCATAGGGAGCCGGGGCGGAGCAAGGGCGGAGCCACGCCGCTGGGGCGGAGGTGGGGCGGGGCCTCAGCGTACAGGGGCCCAATCTGGTCCTGTCAGGCTTGGGGGCAGGGCTAGCGCCAGGGGGGCATGGCCAGAGCCGAGGGGCCGGTCCAGAGAGGCCTGGAGCAAGGCCGGATACAGTGCCCAGGGCTCGGCGAGATGGAATAGGTCGCAGAGTCCCAAAGAGGCTCGGAGACAAAGCTACAGGATCGAAGGAGGAGTCTAGACCAGAGTTCTGCCCAGGGCCGTGGGCGGGGCCTCAGGGAGGGGGCGGGACGGTGAAGGCGGGGCCACGGCACGGGGGGCGGGCCGCGGCGCGGAGGGAGGGGCGGGGCTCGCTCTGTCCGGGCCGGGGCGGGCACTCCTCTCTGGGGGTGGGGCCAGCGCGGGAGGCGGGCTTGGAGGCGCGGCGCCCGTGACGAAGAGCAGGCCCCGCCCCTGCCGGCCCGCCCTCCCCGAGCTCCCGGGTCCAAGCCGCCCGGTTCGCCGCGCGTTGCCCGCAGGTTCCATTGAGAAAAGCTGAGCGGCGGCGGCGGCGGCGTCTGCGCGGGAGCCGAGGACTGGCAGCAGACCGCCGCCCGCCGCCCCTGGTGGTCTGTGCGCTTGCAGCGCTGGGCCGAGCCTCCGGCCTCCGCAGCGGCTCCGGACTGGCCGCGGCGGGCTGGGGGCGCGGGCCGGGGCGCCGTGGAGCCCGAGGGCCGGGGGCATGAGCCGTCCCGCGGTTCCGCCGCGCCCCCGCCGCCCGCCGCCGCCCGCCAGGGGCTAGAGGCGGCCGCCGGGAGGGCACGCGGCGCCGGAGACATGTCCAGAAGGAAACAGAGCAATCCCCGGCAGATCAAACGTGAGTCAAACTTTGCCCGCCCGTCCGCCGTCCTCGACCCCTGCCGGCCCTCGCCGGCCCCCCGCCCGCCTCCCACCCGCCCCGCTCTGCCCGCGGCGCCGCCGACCTTCACCCCGCGCCGCGTCCCCCGCGCTCTGTGCCAAGCGCGCCGTAATCTAATCTCCGCGGCGGGCTGGGCCCCTGCGTCTCTGCTCGGCACCGGGGGTCCGACCCGGAACGGTGTCCGCCTAGAGGGCCAGGAGCGGGGTGTCTTGGGCGCGCCCACCTCGCGACCGACCCCTCCCCCGCATCCCCGAGATGGTGCAGCGATAAGGCGGCCCCGATCTGGGCTCAGATAAAGTTTAAAATATTCCATTCTGCAAGTCCCATCCTGATAAGATCGCTCTGTCGGGACGGGCTGAAATTGTGATCTTATCTCGAACGGTTGACTCTCCCAGGCTTTGTATCTAGAGGGAGAAAGAGAGACCTGGGAGGAAGAGGGGACACCCGGGGCGTCGTGGAAATGCATGGGCAAGTGGTGGGGACCGGCCGGCGCCCAAAGACCCCTGCTAACCAAAAAGCCACGTGGCCTGTAGGGGAGTGGGGGTGGCCTGCAGCTACCGCAGCCCGAGCACTTGGCTCCAGCTACTCAGACCCTGAGTCCTGTCGCCAGGGTCTCAAACTCGAGCCTTCCCTGCTGGGAGACAGTTTCCTGGAGGTCCGACCCGGCCAAGGCCGCAACAGCAGCGGAAGGTGCGCTCGGATGCCTGCGGGCACTACCCCCAACCCCAAATGAGAGAGGGGGCTCCTGGGGACTCGCCCAGGCCAGGGTTGCCTCTGTGCACTTCCAAGTTTCTCTCCCATCCGGCTTGCGGGCCGGGCCACTTCTCGGGGGGCTTGGGCGGCCACTCCGCGGAAGCCCCTGCGATAAGGCGCCCCGCACTCTCGGGGGCCACGCGGCTTCGGGAGAAGTAACCGGTCGAGCGCACAGGAAGCGCGGCTCCCCGCCCCAAGCCAATAATAACTTAGTGCTTCGGTGTCCAGGGCAGAGGCAGGGACTTCCTCCGGGGGTCTCATCTCCCGGGCTAGACGGGCGGGTAGTCGGGGCCAGCCCACTGCCCAGCCCCAGGCACCGGGGCATTGCCACTTCTGTCCACATGACCACTGCCACCAGGACCGCATGTGCGAACTCCTGGGGGAGTGTCTACTCCCGAGGTCCCGGGGAGCGGGGGGGAACACAGGCATGAATCCGGGTTCCCGTAATCCGTAATCTGACTCCCTCAATGTGCAAGCGGGACCTATTTTCAGAAAGTCGCCTTCTATCAAGTCAACTCAAGTATTAGGTAAAACCACCCACAGGTCCCGATGTGTGCGCGTTCTCTGGTTTCTTTTTCCCCTCCTCCCCTGTGCGCCACTGTTCGGGCTGTTCGTGTGTGTGTGTGTGTGTGTGTGTGTGTGTGTGTGTTTCAGCGTGATGAGAAATGCAGATAGCGCGGGCAGGGAGATCGCAGGTTGGGAACCGATCGCCAGCACCGATAAGGCCTAGAGCGGGGCGAGCACCCGGGCCCAGTTGGGTCGGCAGAGCGGTGCGCGTTGAGGACAGAGACTGCAGCATGCGCACCGGCGAGCCCCAGCTGCCCACCCTTTGCGTTCCCGAGACCTAGGCAGAGGAGGGGGCCGGGCCTAGGAGGCGGGGCCGGGCACTCTCCCTGCTGCCTGCGGCCCCGGGCGCCTCCTCCCAATGGCAGATCTTGGCGCGTTAAGATGCGAGCGCTGATTGTCACCGAGCGGCGGCGCCCGCCCGCCTGCCCTCTGCCCGCGGCTGTGCGTGCGGCCGTCGCAGCTGCGCGCCCGCCACGCTGGCCTCACCTGCAACCAGGCCGCGGGTAGGGACGGGAGTAGGCAGAGCTCTTGGGGCCGCCGCCCCCCTCCCCCCTCCAAAGCCGGGGCGCAGCTGCCCGCGCCTCTGTGCGCCTTTTGTTCCGCGCAGAGATAGATGTGCCGCGCTGATAAGGCGAGTAACCGATGGCGGCGGCGATAGGCGCTTCCATTTATTAACTTCAAACGTGGGAGCGGGGGAGGGCGAGGCGGGAGCGCGGCCTTGGCCGGCCAGATGGCTGAGACGATAGCCCGGCTGCGCTGGCGGGGAGCGCTAGGCAAAGCGCGGCCCGGGACCCCTGGTTCCCCGGGCCCGCTGAGCTTTCCTCCCGCCCGGGTCGATGTGAGCTCTGATAAACTCCGGGGCCAGTCGGCCGGATGGCGATCGCCAAGAACGATAAGAGTCCTTATCTATGGCCACCAGGCCCCGCCGGTTCAAGGCAACAACAGCGCGGGGGTGTCTGGCTGGGGCGAGTAGGGGCCTCGGACGTGGGCGGGGCAGGGGGAGTGGGCTTCCGCGCCAGGGTTGGTCTGTCTGGGCGAGTTTTCATCCCAAACACACTTAATTGCCAAGAAGTTGATCCTCCCCCTGCGGGTGGTACAGTCCATCAAAATGAAAGAAAAGTGACTCTGTGCTGGCCAGGATGGGGGAGGGCAGGGGAGGACACCCCGCCCCTAATTTCTATTAGATGGTGTGAGACAACCAGAGGTGGGGTTGGCACCTCCAACAGGAGATATGGCGTTTTTCCTCTTGAATCATGTTGGGGGTTGGTGTTGTTTTCTGGCAAGTATGAGGTGTAACCTGCTTGGAGTTTGCTTGAAAAAAAAACAAAAAACAAAAAAACAAAAAGAAACACAAGGTGATTTCCACTGCCCAGGCCGAGTTTCGACGGACCCAGTGTGCTGGTTTCTTTTTGAGCAGGTCTCACAAATCTGGAGAGAAGGTCTGTGTAGATTTGCCTTGGTTCACTCAGAGTATCTTTATTGAGCACTTGCTGTGTGCAAGCACTGGGTCACACTGCCTTGGGGAGATTGAAGCGGGGTAAGACCGGGAGCAGTGTGGGAAGTCAGGACAGGGTACTGGGTAGAGAGCAGATGAGGGACATCAGGTAGCCAAGGACACTTTCAAGAGTGGGAGGGACTTCCAGTGAGGTCCGGAGGAGGCTAGCTAGGGTGGTGCCCCAGGGACAATGGACAGGCCTCATTTTCCAACTCTGAAAAATGGGATGGTGATTCCTGGTTGTGAGGCAAATGAAGGGCTGAGAGTCACATGATTCTAGGGAAGGGACAGCCTGTGTGAGGAGGCAAGAATGAGGTCAGAAGGGCCGGGCCTCAGTTTCCCTTTCTGAAAAATGGGGACAGGAGTGAACCCTCAGGTCAGACTGGAGCTGTCCAGGGGCACAGAGTCCCTTCATAGTGAGAGGGCCCTTGGGAACCATGGATCCCAAATACCAAGTGGAAACCAAGGCCAGCCACGGCAGGAGCTTCCAGAAGAAGCTGGGCCTCGCCTGGCTCAACTGTCCCCACCAGTCCAAGCCCTAACAGCTGCTCCAGCTCCATCTCAGATGATGATGTTTTTCACATGTTCTCAGAGTTTGATTAAACAAATTATTGGTGGCCACAGGATGACTAATTTACTCCGAGCTTCAAAGTCACCTGCCTGCTCTCCCCAGCAGCCTGACACCCACCTGTGGGACTAGCTGTGCCTTCTGGCAAGGGCCAGTTCCGGGAGAGCCTGGTTTAGGCCCTAAAAAGAGATGAAGTGGTCTGTGTGAGTTTTTATGAATGCAAGCTCAATTGCCTGCACAGAGCCATGCACACTTTCTTTCCAGGGGTAGCAGTCACTTGGGGTCTGCCTTCCTCCCAGGGGCCGCCTTGAAATGCCCACCACCCTGCTGTGATGGCAGAAAAGCTGGGAAAGAGGGAGCTGCAGCATCCTGGCTGCCTGTCTTGAGCCATTTGTGGACAGGGTACTTTGCCGGTCACAGCCTCTGAAAAACAAGTGTGACGGGCACTAAGTTCAGCTCTCAGTTAGCTTTGGCCCCCTTCTCAGAGGGCGTGGGGATTGAGCTCTAGTGAGCAAACGAGACAGAGGGCTTAGACACCTGGAAGGATGTGCTCACAATGCCTGCCCCTGAGCCTGGTGTACTCTGCAGCACAGCCTCTCACCTCCAATGGTGGGGCTTCACCCGGCTCCAGACTTTTATCGGTTTGCCTGCATTCCTAGGCCTGAGGGAAGACAGCTCATGTGATAGTAATAATAATAATATTAATAATAACTAATATTTACCGAACTTAAGCAAGTCTTTATTCTTATTGCTATTATATCTAAAGAAACTGAAGCACAAAGAGGTTAAGTTTCTCACCCAAGGAAGTGGCAGAGCCAGAGTTGGCATGCAGGCAGCCTGACCCTCACTCTGAACCAGTCTGTCCGTGAACGTCACGCTGCTTCCCTGAAGCCCTCTCCCCTCTGCTTCCCTCTGGGGTTCTCCAGGCCTCAGTCTCCACACCTGTGGCATGGGCCTCGGGGGCAGAGGTGCTCTGGGGTCTTTCCCAGTCCTGCCCTTGCTGAGTCTCCTGTGGCCTCCTTCCTGAGACATTCCTGTGCAGTAGTGGTCCCCAGGGAGACATCATCCAGCCCAACCTGGGGGCCTGAGCCTGGCCTAGTCCTGGCCGCCCAGCCAGCCCCTCCCCCGGAGGTCACCAGGAGCCCAGCATGGCACCAGCACCGCCAGCGATTTAAATGGGTCAGTTGGGGAAGAAAGGAGGAGGGAATGCGATGCCATTAATTGTACCCCTTATCTCCTGTTTCTATGCCAACCAGACGTTCCTGGGGCTTGACGGGCTCGTGAATAATACTCCCGGCCAGCCTATCTGCCATCGACAGGCCTCCTCCTGGAGGCAGCTGTTGCCTCGCCGATTGGTATCACCTACCGCATAGACCCAGGCCTGGGCCCTCACGTAGGTTGGCTGGGCCACACTCGGGCACCTGGCTGGGCTCCTGCCCACCCCGCCACCATATCCCTGGCTGAGTCTTCCTGGAGCTGCCCTTGGCTACTGTCCCCATTTCACAGAGGGGGAAACTGAGGCCATAGCCACATGTGTGCTCTCTGGACCTAGTCTGCTGTTCCCCACTCATACAG